AAACCTTTTGAATTAAGGGTTGATCCATAATCCCAATATTTCCTTCTTTTTCCGCTGGTTTCTCCAATTTTTAAAACCATTTTATCTTAAAAATGTATGGTATAATCATAATATTTTATGCCATAAAAATGAATATACATATAGATGACTGGGAGTGTAAGCCAGACCAGCAGTATTTCATGAAAGTGGTTTATATCATTTCATTTCCTCTTGTGTTTTGGTAAATGCCAATTTGAAAAGGAGGGGAAAAGAGTGAGGGTGAAAATCTCCATGCTGTTGAAGTCCACAAGTGTCTGCAAGATTGGCTGTAATGGCTACCCAAGCCTGTATGGTCTTTCATGTATTATGCTAATTTCCTTTGCAATCTAAACTACACTAAGCTGCATTGAAAGTATGGGCATGGATAGATTTAAGATATTAATACATATATTTTATATGATATAATAAATATGACATTATAATTATATTTACTATACTATGTAATAGCTATATAAATATAACATTTCTATTTAAATATAAATTTAAGTATATTTATTAATATAATTACATATTAATATAATTGTGTTAATTTAAAATATTACATAATATATAATATTTATGTTCTCTGTATATGATGACAAAGCTGACTTCTGAATCTCTGTTCTACTTAGGAATAAATTGTGAGGATGGTATATTAGTGCTGGTATGATAATTGTCAGGTAGAAAGCAAAATTATATATTTGTATTAGGGCAGATGAATAAATCATAGAAACCTCCAGAGACTATTTTTCTCTCATCTGTCTACCATTAAGTGGTTTTTTTGGTCACTTGGTAGAAAAATCATCTTTTTGGAGGTGAAGGCAAGGTCAGCAGCTCTCGGTGAGAAAAGACAATCACAGTATGGGGTAATTTCAGCAGTACTAGAAAAAAGCTCTTCACTTTGGCTGATTCTTTCCTTATTGTTGACTAGTGATGGAAATTTTACCGCTACTGCTTCATTTCTATGGCTAAAAATTTTTCTTTCTTTTGGAAGATAAATACTATCCTCACCTCCATCATGGGAAGTAGAGTGGGAAGGGGCAGTAATCTTAGTTATTCATACCCTAGGGTTGACTCCTGTGCAATGTTCATGGTTTGGAAGTGAAAGAGAGAGAAAAGTTACAGTCTGGGAAGGCAAGAGGAAGATGGACTCAAGGAGAGAGATTGACTGCTCACTTCCTGAAGCTGAATAAGGTTGAATTGATCCTAAGGAGGATTATCTACCAAGATCTCTTCATAAGCAGGGTGATAAGGTTAACTACAACCATAAGATCTGATCTCTAGGAAGATAAAGTGAGTAAATTATTCTTGGAATACCATCACATTTAAAGAAGAACACAAAGGGATCTAAGCTCTCCACCCTGAGAGGGAGACAGAGAGAGGGGAGAAAATGAATGAGAGAGAAGAACCATGGCCTGGATCAATTTGAGATTATACAGACAATTCTGAATGTATGAGCTGGGCTTATGTGTTCAGGTCTCCTGAGGGGTAATGTCTACACTTTGGCTCTACCTATTTTTTATTTTAAAAACATAAGGAAGTTTTCTTAACCAGCTATATTTGGCATTGTAGCTTTACTACGTCACTGATGGTGCTAACTAGTGGTTAAGCACCGAAATACCACCAAAGACTCTGTCATTATCTTCCACTCCCTATAGCCAAACAACCAATGTTTTGGCATATTTACATACTAAATAAACTTTTTAGAAAGTAATAATTAGTTCATCCATTTTAGAAGATTAATTAAAGATATTTATGGCTACTGTTAGAGCTAGTCTATTAAAGAGAAGTTCTATTAAAGAGAAGTTCTGCTAGATATCAAGATGATTCTTATATTTATAAAACTCCAGGTAGAGTGCTTGTTCATTTATACACTTATGTAGCAATTTGTTGTTTATCCTGTAGTCTCTTTTTTTCTCCCCATTACCTCTATTCCCCTCTTGGTCACCAGTGGACTACAGATGGCCAGTTATATAGCCCTCATCTCTGCTGACTTGCTCCTTTGTTGCGGTCACTTATTCCCAGAGAGTCTCATGGTTTGACCAGGCCTGGCCCCTGTTCATGGGTCACAGAAATAACCCCATACCTGGTTGTTGTGGTTCAGTGAAATCCTATTCTTAAATTGCTACCTGATATCCAATTCTCAGCCTCAATAATTGCTTAAGTATACTCAGTCAGGTTTAACAAGAAGCTGACCATGTGATCTCAAAATCTTTCTCAAAGTTCAGCTAGATCATGGGAAAAAAGCAAAAGACACTTCACGATCTATTCCATTAGAGGTTAAAAGAAAGAACACTGAGTTTTGTTTGGCAAATAATCTCTGGTAAGATTTGCTTCATTGCCAGTTTTTCTCTGAACAATCAAGCATTTCATTTCCAATGAATTATCTGGAACAAATGTTAATTAGATGAGCTATAATTACCAGTTTCCCACCCATTATATTTCTTAAAAATAGACCCTCCACTGTCTTCCCTAGTAATATTATAAACAACAAAATTTCAAAGGTTAACCTCTTACAGTGCTTAGTGTCTCAACACAAACTTTAGCACTTGATTGTACTGTTTTATTTATTTACTTCTTTATTTCTTTATTTCTTTATTCATTCTATTTTTCAGGAAAGCCTATCTTTTTTAAAATACATTCTTACTTAAGTATAGTCAGTTTACAATGTTATGTCAATTTCTGGTGTACAGCACAAATATTTCAGTCATATAGGAACATATATATATATATATATATATATATATATATATATATATATATTCAGTTTCATATTCCTTTTTACCGTAAGTTACCAAAAGATATTGAATATGGTTCCCTGTGCTATACAGTATAAACTTGTTGTTTATCTATTTTATATATATTAGTAGTATATATATTAGTAATGCAGTTGTATCTGCGTTATTCTCGTTAGTTCATGTGTGTAAGCCTTTTTTTTCCCAGTTAAGATTACAAATCATAGCAGGCAGAGTCCTTTTATTTCTTTTTCTTTACTTAATACCCAAAGAAACTAAACATAGTGCTAAGGGACAGAAGTAAGCTCTGAACACATGCTTGTTCAGTGGAATTGAATAGCTCCTCCAGTTTTCATACCCCAAACTGCTCCGCATGAACAGGAATCACTGTGGTACATGATGTCTTTTTGGTCATTTCGAAGTGTTGGTCCTCCTAGTCATCCATCAGGATCAGTTTACCAGTCACCTCCTCTGGGAAGCTTGCTCTGACCACTCTCCAGATAATTAACCACCCCCGCCTCTGGGCCCCACCATGCTTTGTCTGTACTTTGATTATTGTGTATACTACCTCCTCTGTAACTCTCTATTATATGTTTAAATGTTCGTTTTCCCAATTGGAATGTAAACTTTGTGAAGAGGGTTCTCTATTAGTAGTCTTTCCTTCAGCTTGGCTGAATAATAAGCTGAATCTGTGAGTAAATGTAATTCATTAGGGCTGTGCCATCTCTAATAAACTGCTGTTTATCCCTATTGATCTGCTTTTGGTGAAAATTCCAGTAGACTTTAAAGGAAATTCCATATGTTGTTTGATAGTTGAAGGTCTGTGTTGAACTTTTTAGTATTTATTTTATGTCGTGCCTTGGCACGAGCCTCTGTCTACATAGACTTCTTTTTTCTAACATCCCCATGAAACTTGAGTTCCTCAAATTTCCCCTGCCTTTGCCTTCCAGCTCCTGCTTTCTTCACTTGCCCTTTGGGTTTAAACATTCTCTTTGTACATTTCTATATTTGATATGTTTGAGAGAATATTTATTTCAAATTCCACTTTACTTTCTGTGCCACCTACAAGAAATAGGAGAGACCTCTCAAGAGGAGAAGACAGTTTGGAACTCTGACAGTTGTGTGAGCATGTTAGCTCCCCAGTCTATTTGGAACAGAAGGTCTCTGCTGTGAACAAAGAAAAGTATGAGTAAAAGCAGAACTTAGGAACAAATGAAATAGGGGTTATAGTCCACGTATCAGAAAAGAACCTTCTCCAAAATTACTCTCAGCAGGGCTCCTTTTATAGCTAGTTCATGGAGGTCAATTGAGATATAATGGAATTTTCCAAAAATATCTTCACATGAGACTTTGCTGTAATACAACATAAGATGATTTAGTCCCATAGTGGTATTTGCAATCCTGAAGAGCTGTGTGATGTTTTGGATTTTTCACAAGTCGCCTTCCTTAAAGTGGGTGGATTCCTGTGTATTAAGGGTCAAAATTATGCCTGTGAAAAGGACATTGTTCACAACTCCACCTGCTGAAAGCTGCTGTGCTTTCTTGAAGACATGAGATAGAAATTGATGTTATTCTCTTTTTTTAATTGAAGTATAGTTGATTTACAATGTGTTAGATTTTTTTAAAAATTTGATTTCCTTTATTATTATTTGTGTTAGATTTAATACTTGAAATGTATGTTATTCTTGGTAGAGTTAAAATGAAGATGATGGGGAGAAGGAGGAGATGGTGAAGTGTCCCCTAGACTTGTGACTCCCTGTGCATGGTTGCATTGTTGTGTTTGAGGCTTTATATTACTTGCTTCCTTTCCTTGTTTTCCAAATTTCTTGGAGCGCTTTCTCTTGAGATCTCAGTTTTTATACGTATTTCCTTTTATTTCTTCACATATGTGCTACCTCTTGTGATAAGATACACTTTTCTTCAGTCTAAATAGCCTTCCTCTACATTCTGAGATACATCAAGATACTATGTCTGACTTTGTATTTTTGTCCAGCCTCAGGTGGACTTAAACTTCCCTCCCAGGTCAGGTGTATGTACCTTGGGCCCTAGCTTTGGCAAGACCGGAGTACAGAATCAGCTCCCACCATATTTGTGAGTCGAGATTGCCAACCAGCAGTGGTTTTCTCTGTGCATCACATAGGACACAGTGCCTGAATGATGCTGTCATAGACGGACACATCTGGAGAAGCAGTGCTGAAGCAGCACAGACCCAAGTGTTCATTCTATCCCAAAGTCTACTGGTTTTTTTGAGTGTGCATTGAAAAGTCTTCTATTTGCAGTCACATAGTTTTATACTGAGTCTGAAACCAAGAAAAATAATATAGTGGAGAAAAGCCAGAGTCTTCTAGAAGTAAAAGAGGCTGATCTAGATTAAACATGCATTATGTTTTTCATTTCCTTGATTATCTGTAAGAGAGCTGTACATTTGGTGAGGAGAGAGACTTCCAGGAAGAGGGAAAAAAAGGCTATAAGGCCTGGGACTGCTGGGAAGATGAGGGAAATTGTCCCCGGTGGCTACATGTAGGGTGTTTGCTTCTAGAGAGTGGGGAGAGAGGAGGGAGGAGGTACAGACAGGGGCTGGGCCATGAGAGGGTCATGTGTCCTCTTCACAGTTTAGACTTTGCGCTGTGGGCCTTTGAACAAGTGCAAATGAAGGGAGGCATGTTGTGGTGGAAAGATTGGGGGCTTTAGGGAGCAGATGAACTGACATCAGGATATTTTCCACTTAGCTGTATCAACTTGAACAAAAAAAAGACAAACCTATTTCTTATCTTCAGTTTCCTTATCTGAAAAATGGATATAATAATTGTGAAAATTAAATAAGTGTACACAAATAAAGCTTCTTGCCCAGAACAGGGCACCCAAACACAGGCCAAGTAAATTAGTGTTTACCCACAACAAGTGCACACAAACTCTTATTCGCCTTTAATTAGAAATTTGGTGGTTTAGTCAGGGGAAAGGCATAGGTGGCTAATTTGTCCCACATGAGTCAGGCAGGCCACACTTACTGACCTCCAACCCCCAACAAATCTGAAAGGCACAGAAAATGTTTAACATGGAATTTACATTGGAAAACAAAACATTGGATTTTAAAGTTTTCTTTTATTTCACCTAATTTTTCTGGAGACTCTGAACAAAATATTCCAAGCAGCCAGCTAGCTGGTTCATTTGTTTCAGGGACCTCAGTGTCTGATACTTGAATATTTCCTCCTTCTGGCCTGATAGCTGGCACTTGAAAATGACACAGAAGCAGAGGTGAGATGATCAGTTGTACCTACAAATAGCAGGTATAGAAATTCCTGTGCTATAAAGACTTGTTTATGGATACAATGTTCTGTTTTTAGTTAAAACGTTTGAAAAGAAATTAGCAGACTAAAGATGCTCAAAATGCCAAACAAATGGAAAAAGTGGAAAAACACAGCCTAGGACTTGGAGGAGTTGGTTTCCAGCTTGAGCTCTGCTAATATTACACTTATGTGACCATGCATAGATTAGGTCACCTCTGATCCTCAGTTTTCTCATCTGTAAAATTGCCGAGTTGATCTAGATTGCCAAAGTCACTTTTTCGCTCTGTGTATAATTATGAATCTTGATTCATATTTCTAGGCTCAGTACAGTATCTTTACTCTGACCCCAAGATCTGTCTCTCTTCCCAGCATCTGATCAATTACCAAATCCTGTTCAGCATTTCTGTTAAGAATCTGAGCTTCAGAATTAGGGAGACTTTAATGTAAATCCCAGCTTAGTCATGCATTGGCATAGGGAAGTTCTTCATCTTTCTCTACACCTGAATTTCCTCATCTACAAAGCAGGGCTAAGATAGTTTTTATGTCATAGGATTGTGGTTTGGAGTAAATTAGATAATGCATGTAAAGTGCTTAGCACAGTGCCTGTGGTTTAATAAATCATGACTATATTCAACATCTCCATTCCAAATAGCTCTTAAATTTGACTCTTCCTCTTCACCCGGAATACTGAAACCAGAGTGGTTTCTTCTACTTTAGTCTAACTCTTTGCCCTGGCAGAGAGGTAATCTTTCAAAAATACATGACATTACAACAACAATAATATAACATTTCTATGGGAGTCAACAGAAATGGAAGGTGGGGACGCCTAGAAAAGTAGGGCCTAGTTTGACAGATCTGAGACCAAATTTCTTGTGGTCTTGTTTAAAAGTAGCAGAAGTAAAGGTCTTGAACTTTTCAGGCCAATTTAACTGATCAGATTGAAGGCAGGTTGGGTTAGGGGTGGCATGGCCAGTGTTAAGAACCCTTAACACAGGTTGTCTGCACACAGCATTTATGACTCCCTACGTTTTTTGCTGCAACCTTCCTAACACTTGCTTTGATTTCAGGGCAGAGCCCTGGTTGTTTGCTGAGTAGAAGAGCGGTTGATTGATCTCTATGTGGGCACCGGCTTTGGGTCAGATGGGGAGGTGGGCTTAGGTAAAGGATAAACTTTCTAAATCACATCAAGCCACAGCCTGACAATTTCAGATGTACTTTGGAGCATGGCACAAACTGCTCTGGCACATTGTAAGGATTTCACTTCCCTGTGCCTTTATTGAAATGGAAGGAGAAATGGCCAGGAAAACACGGGCTTACAATGCAGCATCAGTGAGCCCAGTCAGGCTAGCCATTTCCTGCTATGAGTTCTATGCAGCATGATGAAATTCAGTGGACTTTTCATTAGAGAGAAGAGTTATCTCCTGCCCCAAAAATATCGATGACTCTCTGTAAAAATAAACGAATAAAAGTCTCGCTTGCATACCTGACCTGCAAACGCTCTGGTTCACTATAAAAAGAGTCATCAGAGCACAGCTATCTCAGAACACAGGGAGCAGAGAGGGTTAGCATGACACTCAGGAGAACGTTGGGCTTTTTTTAAACCCCTTTTCAATTTCAGGCCAATGGTAGCAACAGGGCCTAGGAATGGGGATGGGAGAGGAGGCCCGTTTGAGGCTGATCAGGCGTCAAGTTACAGGGCCGGAGGGACTGGAGAAAGGGAACATTTGGCTCTCATTACAGAACAAAGGGACAGGGTGCTAGAAAACAGAGCAAATCTGGGTCAGAGGTACCTGACTCTCCCACAGGTGCTGTAGTCAATTTGCACATCTCCACTCGAGAGGGAGCCTCCCAAAGCTGTCTCCCCACCATCCACATGTGCCAACAATAACATTTTACCAGGAGCACAGCTTGTCAAAACCAGCATTTTAGCTGGAGCCAGTGGTGTGATGAAAATAATGTTTTCTCAGGGGCAAAGCTCACTGCTCTTGAGAAGTTAGAGCTGTTAGCACATGATTTTCATGAAATCTCCAAATATTCAAAATCTTTCTGTATTATTATTATTATCTTTTTTTTTTTTTTTTGCAAACCTCCTTCAAGAAATTGCTTACTTTCTCTTGAAGGGAGTTGGTGAGGAGAAGAGAAGACAGAAAATCTGTGATTCTTATAAGAAATAGATTTTCTTGAGCATGATTCAAGATCTAAACTTCACATTTTCCTTAATTATGACAGGGTTGCTCATGATTTGACTGAGTGAGCACTACTTTTTTTCCCCTCAGAAATCAGTCATTTTCCTCTTTTCCAACCTGCCTTCCAATGAAGCATTATTTTGAAAATCTGTATTTTGGGGCAAGGCAGTGATTGGTCCATGTTTGGAGTGGCTCCTCTGACATCTGGTTATTTCTGTCTTTCTTTTTCTCTTTTGAAATCATCTCCAGGCTTCGAAAGGAGAGGGACTGGCCTGGGATGCCATACTGCTTCCAAGTCTGCCAACTTACCACTTGAACCTTGTAACTGTATTTTAAGTCATTAACGATGAAGCCCAAGAAATGTTGGCAGAGGGGCCATTTCATCTGAAACAATATAAAATGTACAATGAGAGAAAAGCAGGCCTTAGGTATTTGCAGGGGTCCTGTTATGTGGTGGTTGTGATGAAAATAGGCTTAGTGACTTTAACAGCTGGCAATTTATTAGCAAACCTGGTTCTACTAAAAAAAATACGGAAAATCAGAATTGATGGAGAGTGTTAATCGCAAATCCTTTATATTAGCAAGACTTCTGTATTGTGTTAAAGTTTTACTATTGTAGGGAGCAGACATCCTTTGCAACAAAAGGCCAGGCAAATGAACTTCCTTTGTCAGACGTCACTCCAGAGGGATCTGGGCTGTGTCTAGAAGACAAATTATTTTCCTTTCCATGACTTGGCAAAACCAAAGGGAGAGTCTTCAGTCTTAGCTGGTGTCACTTTTGAGAATTCCTTACCAAGGCTTGATTCTGGAGTTGTCATTTCCAGTCTACATTTGTGGTAGCTCTTTCTCTAGGCCCATCATCCAAAAAGTTGCTTTCCCTTTGGCTGAATTTTTATGCCTAGTAATTGAAAACAACACATTTTCTGCTGCCAACTGGAGACACCAGAGCGATCACTCTCTCTTTTTACTTTAGATTTAACAATGTGGCGGTGGATGAGATGGGAGACATGCTCAAAGTATTCAAAATGAAAAACACCAGAACACAACCGTTATTTTATGAAAGAGGCTGGAAAATGGTTAGTAAAGAAATCACAGATGTGTTTCACAGACGAGGGGGAGGTGAGGGGAGTACTACATTCTGAAAATAGTGTGACAAGCACAATATATTCCTAATTTGGCTCAACATATTACTTTTTCGGTTTTCTAAGCTTGATTTGGGGGTTTATTTTCACTTTCTAGAGTATCTGTGTGTGTGTGTGTGTGTGTGTGTATATATGTATGTATGCATGTATTTTGACCTCTTAGGGAACTGTAATAGTATTTTATAGAATATTAACATAATTATTTACCTGTAGCTGCACTAAATAAAGAGTGCTTGATAAAAAGTTGAAGTAAGTAAGCTCTCAAATTAAAGATTACATTTTTGAACTGTTACCCAAGAAAAGAAACTCAAAAATGTGAATAATTTTTAAATGGTAGACCACTCAAAATGGACCTTCTGTTTTTTAAAAAAAATCTGCAATTACAAATTCCTCGCTTTTGCCTTAATTTTGACTCTACAGATGATGCAGATTTTTTGAGTATAAAAATTGTGCCGTGTTTTGCCAGGCCATGCACACAGCAGTCAGTCAGTAACCGTCTGACTAGTGAATTAAGACTATTGAAGAAGAATGCAAGTTTGTAGATGAGAAGGTTTGTCTATCTCTTCCTTTGTCTAAATAAAATTTTAAAAGAATCTTTTATTTATACATTTGACTCTTGAACAAAGCAGGGGTTGGGGTACCAACCTTCTGCAGAGTCAAAAATCTGCCTATGAAATACTTTGTGTTAGGTGATTTTGCTCAACTGTAGGCTAATGTAAAGGTATCTGAGCATCTTTAAGGTAGGCTAGGCTGATCTATGATGTTCAGTAGGTTAGGTGTTTTCTACCAACAATGGATTTATTGGAACGTAACCCCATCATAAATCTGGAAAGATCTGTGAATGTTGGCCCTAAACTTCTGATTTACCAGGGGGCTGAACACCACTGGTTGGCATGAGAATATCCTCCAATGGGGCTTTCTGATGGTTCTGTGTTCTTAAAGGGCCATTTCCAACTGTGACTAGACTATGGTATATCAAGGAGAATGTGTGTGCTTTATTCCAAGGCATTTCCTCTTTGGGAAATCAACACTACCAACTACAAGTGAAGAGATGGAGGAGCGCTTTAGATACTAGATGCCTCACTATCTCCAGCCCCACCCTCTCCAGAATTATACCAATGTTTCCACCATTCACACACTAACAAATTTAAAAAATTAATCTTACTATGGTTTTGGATTTCCTTTTTAAATATAGACATAACCAACAGCACAAAATGTATTTGAGAGTTATGGATATTAAATCAAATATGAGTGACTAGGTTGAGAGAGGATAAAGAAAGGAACTTTTGTTTTCTCTTGGTCACTAAGAATTTAAAAATAAATCAAGAGAAGGTACATTCTGTGTTAAATGTGGTAGCAGATCTGCATACATTTGTGTTTATGTTATGAACCTATTAATATATTTAATTTTGCTGTAAGTATTAATGTCATTTAATCTATGTTTTGATAATAACAAAAATGAACTTCCCAATCAGATCATTTACTATTAAAGAGAAAAGTTTTTATTATTTCGTGAAACAAATATTTTTAGAAACTGATGTCAATATTACCTAATTTTGATTACTCTTTTTTTTTTTTCTTTTTTTTATTTATCCCTTCCCACCCTCTACCCCGCCCCCCTCCCCGGTTTGATTACTCTTTTTAATTTTTTTGTTGTTTTTATTACTGAGGGAAAGTGTATTTAAATTGAAGTGTTTACTTTTTCAATTTCTCACTAAATGGGATATCCTGTGGGATATAATAGAAAGAGAAAGAGCTCTGTGTTCAGCTGACCTGGATTTTAATCCAGGAAAACTGAGTTTTAATCCAGATTCTGCCATTTAAAAGCAGTTTCTCCCTAAACTTGAATACTTAATCCGTGTGAGTTTCCAGTTTCCTGCCCTGTAGATTGAGGACAATTGTGCATATTTCTTCAGGTTATTAAAAAGAATAAATGAAAAAATGTATAAAGTGCTTAGCACAGTGCTTGACACATATTAGGACACTAAAAAATATTAATTTCTTTTCCATAGTTTTATGCACATCTTTCATGTAAATGGATCTTAATTTACCCAATGCCTCAAAATTTTATTAGCAAAAATACTACTAAAACTGGTTTATATTATCTTCAGCCCTTAAAACTCCTAAAATACTTACTTGTGTTCTCTTTTCCATTAAAAGTTTCTAAATTATGATCGCAGTGATCAAACTGATTCAAAAGGCATGAATTTTTGACAGTTTTCTAGAGAAAGAGAAGACAGAAAGTGAACCAAAAAAGGAAGAAAGAATAAATCTTGAATAGTAGCATGGTAATTATGTTAGTGGCAAAATAGTGGTGGTAAAAAGGTACTTGCTTCTGGATTAAACCCTTCTAAGGATTTTTCTTTTGTAGCCTAATAGTGGTGACTAGAGACCCACTGAAGTCATATCACTATGTACGCAGTTAGGCTATTTAAAGGCTGCTATTTCATTTCCAAATTTCACTCCCTTCTGACATCTCTTGCACTGTTCACTTGGCACCTTTGGCTACACTTCAGCAGATAATTTGTACACTACATAAGCATTTAGAAAAACCCAGAGTTAAACCAGGGGTGAGAGTCATCAGTAACATTTATAGTTACTGAGCTTTTCACCATATGCCACAATGTGGATCAGAGCATGCATCTTTTAAGAGAAAAAGAACATTTCTTTTAGTGGAATTTCCACTCTCATATTGATATGACAATGATTCCTACAGCTAAATCAGGCTTGACCTCATTTGTCAAATGATTTTACCAACAGATTTTTTTTTTCCAAGATGTTAACCACTCTTTTAAAATCCGAAATTCAACATTTAAATTATGTTTGATTGAAGGTCAGCTTTTTTAAATGCAAGAACAATCTTTCATTGACAAGAATGCAATGTGAGGAAAATTTAGATAAATGTATTGAATGCACAGAGTGTAATAAAACCCCTTAGTTTAATAGATAAAAGAGCGTTGTGGGTTTTTTAGCTTTTCTTTGCAGGGTTGGAATATGTGCTTTGCTCATGGAAACCAGCTGTCCTGCCACTTCCCAGCACTCAGGGGAAACAGAAACTTGCTTCTTCTCTACTGTTAATGCATGAGGGCGTGCCCTAGGCAAAGACGAGGGTAGCTCTGGTAAGTGCAGGTGGTTTAGGTATTTTGGGAAGGGTCAAGGAAACATCATTCTTTGCACTTCTTCTTTTTTCCAAATTGGGCATCGCCTGAAATTGGCGCATTCAGCAGCACTGTGGGATGAGGTATGTACGGGGCGCTATTTCCCTCTAAGGCAAATACCTTCACTGCTGGCAAACCATCAGAATTTGCAAGCTCAGCCAGCACCTTTGACCCCACCACGCAGCTGACAGCACAGTTGGCAGTTGGTAGTTTCCATTTATCCTAGGTCAGCTCTTGAGACATCAACATAAAATGAAATCAAGATTTCAGCAGTTAAATTCAGAAATAAAAATGGAACGCCCGAGCATTTGCTTCAGGCTGCTCAGGCTGAGGACCATTTATTAAGCTAGTAAAGCTGAGAAAGTCAGCTAGGTGAGAGCAACTGCTCAGGATAAAGAAGTGGGTGATTGGATGCATTATTTGACGATCCAGAGGAGGAAGCCACTGCTTTAATGACAGCTGAGTTGCTGGATTGCTTAAGATATGATCGGAAATGCCATTTCAGTGGACAGAGACTGTCGCCCTCACATCCTCAGTGCCCAGCACTGTGCCTGGTAGCTGGTGCTCAGTCAGTGAATATTTGAGCAATTAGCAAATAAAGTCCCTGACTGCAGGCTGCCATTAGTGGCAAAGCGCTCAGTAATCTTGCCATGGTTCTATAGGTCAATTCTGTGGCTTAATTCATTAACTTTGAAATTATAGTCATTGGTATTTCATCAGTAATGTAATACTATTGATTATAAAATATATATTCGGAAACATACATATATGTGTATTTTGCCACCAACTATTGATTAGACCAGTAGAAAAGTTAGCTAAATAAATAATACAAATGCACTTATCGGTTATATGTGTAGGTGTTTATAGACAGTTATTTTTTTCCAGTTCATATATTTAAAGGATGAAGTTCCCAAGTCATACTTTTTTTTACAAAGAACAGGATGAGGAGGAGGAACTTAACATTTTTCTTCCTTTCCTACTGTATGGTATATTTGAACTCTGTGCTTTAAAAAAATTCTTTCACTTTGCTCACACTGACCATGTCAAGGGAAAAATCAAGCCCCTTTTGTAGACAAGAACACTGAGCTTCAGAGATAATATTGCTTGACCGATTTTACATAGAGATGAAATGGTTGAGCTACAGGCAGCTTTAATGATAAGGTTTGTGGGATTTTCTCTTTACCTAAAACTTAAAATGTCATCATCTATAAAGCATTAGGAATAGATACTGTGACTAAGGAGATATTCAAGAATTTTATGTTAAAATAAATATAGAGAGATCATTTATTTTTTCTATGTACCAGAATAGATCATTAAGGGAAATATAATCGTTTAAGATCCCTCACAAGAGATACAAAATATATATACTAATTTGGAATAAACTTACTAAGAAAAATGCAGAAACTGATCTACAAAGCTTTACTGAAAAGGAAACTATAAAACAATAAAGAGAGAAAAATTTTGTTTGAAGATGAAACACTGTAAAGTTGTCACTTCTCCCATATATTAATGAAATTTTAATCTAACATCCACAAATTCTTACTTAGAAATTTGACCATTAATTCTAAAATACATCTGGAAAAATAAATGGCAAGAGGAGGCAATATATTCTTTAAAAGGAGAATAATGAAGCCCATTACATGATCAAATATGAAAGTAAAGTATAAATCATATTGTTTAGAACAGTGTGGCACTGCCAGTAGAATCTATGGTAGATTAATTGGAAACAAAAAGATTAGATAGATGATAAATACATAAATAAATAGATGTATATGTATAAAATGAATATGGTAAAGAGAAATTTCAAATCAGTGAGGAAGTAATGAATTATGTAAGTAATGGTAATAAGCTAATTGGTTTAAAAATGCAAAAAGAGTTAGATAGCTATTGTATTAGAAACTTGTATTCATGTGGTTTATTGAGTTAAATATAATAACTTTTTGATGAGTATCTAGCTGATCTTGGAGTGTGATGACTGGAAATATAAAAGAAAACAGATTCGGGTGGAAAACATCATAAATAAAATCAAAGAACAAATAACAAACTATAAAAAATAGCTGCAACATTTTGCAAAAACATTGTTAATATCTTCAGATTTATAAAGACTTCATTTTAAAGAAAAAGAATGAACATTGCTGCAGGAAAAGAAGGCATGAGCAGGTAAGTCACAAGATCTATATGACCAACAAACTTAGAAATCAATTTAAAATTCTTTAGTTCTCAAAGATATACTAATTAAAAGAAAACAACATTTCTTGCCACTCAGATTCATATGCCAGGGGATCTCTTTCTTGCATTTGCAAGTTTGTTCTAGAACTCACCTCCGCTTCTGCTGTTGCCCTAGTTCGGCTGGGGAAAGCTGTTCTCACTGGGCATTGGCTGGTCACCATTTTCTCCCACCCCAGCTGAGACATCGAGAACCTCCAGATACCAGATACCTCCTCGGAGCTTCCTGGATGAAAGGGAGATGTGGCTTGTTTCCCTCTTTTGATACCTCCTGTTGGAGGAATACTTGCACCATCCTTTTTATTCCTCAGGGGCTTACTAAGTTTTATTGGAACAGCTTTCCATGGATTCCCAGCTCTCTGTCGGACTAAGGTATGATTTTAATAAAGAGCCGGCCTGAGAGACAGGTCCTGGCATCAGACCCCATGTGGCAGTCAGAATCTGGAATAGCAACTCCCTTTCAGTGACTAAGTCTTTCTTAGAGGTCAGGCTCACTTTGCTGGGATTTTCTCTCAGGTTTCTTGCAAATAAGCTTGGGTGAATCTCAAAGACTCCATCCAGTCTGTCTGATTTACCCTTGGAGTTGAGTTTAGACAACCCCTTTTTTGGTATTATAAATCCATAGAGTTGAGTTGATTTTTTTTCTTCTCTATGTTTTTAAAATTTCTCTAAATTTTTCTCATGAACTAGCATTACTTCTATAATTTTGTAATATATTTTTAAAGAATATATTATATGTATGGAAAAATACAAGTTTTATTTGATAAGTTCACAGTCCAGGGTGTTGATCCTTAGTGAGACTGTTTCCTTGTGTCAGAGATCAAGTCTACATTTTACTTCATTCCAGGAAACATAAGCAACATTTACAGATATTTTTAATTAAATAAATAAATATTGAAGTTAAGGGCTTAGTTTATTTTTAGATGCCTCTAGTTTTCTTAAGTCATCCAAACATTTTGCATTTAAATTATACCTAAGACTGTTGAGTATAAACTCACAGCTGACCCTGGCATTGGATAAACTCCCTTGAGGATTTCTTTCAAAATAAAATCGAATATTTTTCATATTCACTACCATTATGCTTCCCACAAAATGTGTAAAGAATATGTGAGGAAATGTTTCTAATTTTCAGAGTGTCTCCTAAAAGTTGGTTTGGACAGGGGAAAGGGCTAGAGCCATAAATTTTGTAAAGGTGTTTATGGGCAGCTACTAATTTGTTCTAAGTTTACATTTCATATACTGAAACTCTATTATGATGACAAAGTTCTTGACATGCACTGTAATATTTATACTTTAAAATATTTCTCACACCTGAGCTGGTATTTATTTACTGCATATAATTTGATTTTAAAATTCTCTAAGAGCAATGATTATGACCTTTTTTGTTGTTTAAGCATTCCTTTCTGGTGGTGAGCTGTGCACTTGGTATTAGAAGTTATTAAGTAAATCAACTAACATATGTTTATTGCCACTTATTATGTGCAATATTCAACAAGAAGTGAAAGTCATTTAAGAGAAAAACGAGTTTAGTGCATTATACCTGCCCCCAATCTTCTTGGGGAAACAATACATATTCACACATAAGAGATTAACTAAAGGCAACAGTTGATGGCTAAGAAATGGAGCAGCTGACATTGATTTAAACAAATAAGCATCCATGCTGAGGAGCAAAAATGATGATAATGCCTGCTATGTATCAGGTGCTTAAGATTATTTTTTGAGTGGATATATTTGTTGAATTGTTGATCCCGTTAAGTACCTACTCCCTGTCCTCTACCTCATAATCTTTTAAAGAAAACATGATTAGCATCACTTTTGTTGAGGAGAAAACTGATGAACAGGGAGGCCCCAATTGACATTCTTCTAAGTAGTAGAGTAGGGGGTTTCATATACACATCTGTTTAATTCCATGATCTGTATTTCCCTTTCCTCATTATACTGCTTTTTGCAGAGAGAACCTTTACATTACAGCCACTTTGAAAAGGTGAATCTTCTGTTGTAGATACATTAATTCAACAAGTCATTCTTAAAACTAATACCACTGACCACTCACTGAATAAAATTAGACAATGTTCTTATGAAATTTAAAGTCTAATCCAAAGATAGCAATACAATTAACACAAATAAGTGCAATATTGAGATTCTAATTGTATCAGAAAGAAGATATACATTGTACTAGAGAGCTTACAGTAGATAGACTTTATCTGGTTAGAAGGTCAGGATCCTAAAACCTGAACGGTAAGTAGATTTAAACTTTGCAAATTAGAAAATAAAGAATATTTATGATCTAAAAGACTTGAAACAAGAGAGAGAAAATGATAATTTAGAAGAACAAACGGTGGCCAACAAGGCTTAAGCTAAGAGAGCAAAGGGGATAATAGTGTATGAGGAGCTGAGAAGGCAGGTAGGCACGAGACTGTTCAGGGGTTGTAAACCATATTAACTGTTCGGTCTTTATTCTGAGAGCAATGGCAAGCCAATGAAAAGTTTTAACTGGGGAGTAGTAAGGGTGAGAGGGTAATGGGAGAGAGCATCTGAACAGAATGTAGAGTTGGATGGGAGGAGGACAAAGCGAATTTAGGTAAATTAGATACAAGGCATTTTGTAGGCCAGCCAAGAGATGGTGGTAGGCTGGTCTACAGAGCTGGTAATAAAGATACAGAAAAAGGAATAGATTTCAGAGCTTATATAATTTGGTGACAGATTGGATGTGGCAAGGTTGAAGAAAAGGTAGGTTTCAAGGATGAATTCAGGCTCTTGGTTTACATAACTTAGTAGATGTTAGTTCCATTCTCTGTGGCAGGAAACAGTCAAGGTTTGGAGGGGAAGATCATAATTTTGGTTTTCAACATATTGAATTTGCAGTGCATTTGAGACTAGTTGGTAGACACATAAAATCAGCTGTTGGCTATATACATGTGTAACCCAAAGAAAGGTGTCAGCTAGCGAGATAAATTTGTGAGTCATCTGAATTTATGTGCTGATTGAAGTTGTGAGTATAAATGAGATTACCAAGTAAGAGATATAAATGAGAAGATGAAAGGACCAGTGACTCGGCAGAGGAGAAACAACATTTAATGGTCAAGTAGAAGAAAATGTGTTTTTTAACGAGAAGGAGAAGTGATAGGAAGTAGGAAGGCAGTAGTATATATAAAAAATCGTGGAAAATAGTATTACACGAAAGGAATGGCCCAGTAATGTTGAATGCTTTCACAAGGTCATCTGAAATATTTTATTCTGAGCCAGAAAGAAAAAGGAAAATAATTTATGACTGCCTACCCTCCTGCCACAAAGAACTGAGGTGGATAAATTCCTGTTTCCTTATAACTTACAGAAGTTAAGGGGGGTGGGGACAGAGAACGAATGAATCTAGCTCATTTCTGAATAATTGTTACCCTAGTGGACCAATTTTCCCTCCACAATTCCCAGCTTGATCACCATTAGATTGTCTGATAAAGACAGTGCTTACATTAATAATTCAATGTCTAATATATTTATCCAAAGACCATTCATGCTATTTAAAATAAATTTTTTATTATATTTGCAAAACACATTGAAAACCTGCTGTTGTTAATTTCTCAATCACACAGCCATTTCAAGATGAGAACTTTTAAGCAAAGAAAACTTTTGCAAGGCTTTGAAAATTTGCGTCAGTTTGGAAAGTCAGTTTGTATCCTCAAAGTAATTAAAAACTCTTTCCAAACTTGGTTTTAACAAAGTATTTATCTTTGACTCATTAAAATTGGCAGAAACGTCTTGTAATTTAAGGAAAAAAATTAAAATATACACATTTGATATTGTAGTGATTAAGCAAGAGAATGACTAGATCTTGAAAATCTCATAGAGAGATGGTCCAGAAGAGGAGAAACTAGAAAGTGGTGTACTAGATAGAATGCTATTGCAGTAGTCCAGATGAAAAATACTTACTGTTCTAGGCAGCTAGAATGGGAGGTAGGATTGGGGAAAATGACCGTTTCTGGAAATAGGTAGAGAGATTGAAATGGTGCTGTGACTGAGTGAGAGTAGAAGCACAGATTTGAGATTCAGCAAATGTTAATTTAGCACTATTCCCCATATGATATTTTCCACAAACTGTGGAAGAAGAAACCCAAAGAGATGCAACAATCTGCCCCCAAACACTTGTTTAATAAGTTGTAGACCTGGAATTTCTACTTGAAATTTCTGACTTCAGATGCAAAGCTTTTTATAATACAAGGCCATAACAAATTAAAAAAAAGGTAAAACAAGTAATAAAATTTTTTTGACAGTACAATACCATAAAATACATTTGAGTAAGAAACAAAATGAGGTAGAACTCTATGTCAGATATAAAAGTAGCTTCCTCTCATGGCACCCTTCCTGTAAGGGACTACCTCTGATGGCAGATGAAGAGAGTGAGAAGGCTTCATCACGTGCTGGTGCTGTGGTCTCAGTGACCACACTGAAGAAGTATGCTCTCCCAGCTGAATCAGTGTAGGTCATTGTGTTCACACTTGCTCGATCATGGTCCCAGAGTGAGCTTCTACCCTGAATGAATGAGGTAGTGATCAAAGATCGAATTATGCCCAAGCCTGCAACGTTCTTACCAAAAAATTTCAGGGGAAAGAAACCAAAATTTACTGTTTTCTTTTTTTTAAGCTGAGGGGAAAAAAGGCTGTCAAGGGAAAGGATGGACATCTTGCAAAGAAGTAGAAAATGAGGCCTTAAAGATATTGTTTATACAACCCCCCACCCCAAAAAATCAGCTCTTATTTCATTTGGGATCACAGAAGACTTGGATATATTTTATATTTTCTTTTCAGAAGTGTAAAAAAATACTTAAAAGTGCATATATAGACTGAACATAGATTTATTACCAATGACTTTTGTAAGGCGGGTGGACTGAGGCTGCTAATGTAAGTTTATGAGTACAGCTGGTCCATTTAACGGCAGGTTTATAGGCACACCTCAAGAACTGCCCCCTGTCTGTGGAAGGTATGGTATCAAACAAACTCTGTTGGACATATGGGCCCATCTATGGGCAACGTACTATAAACGAACCCATAACTACTGCAGCTGTGATCATAAACCTTTTTAGAAAACAACTAGAAAAATCTGACTTAGAAATGTTTGCTGTGTTTCCAAATGAGAAGGTGGAACATACAAAATGAGAGCCAATGCAATGGCTTGGATGAAAATATCACAGACTCAGGTTAAACCAACAAAACTGACTTCACTCTCACTCTGTGTTATTTTCATAAATCTCAATTGAAGGATCAATGGCAATTAATTTTCTGCTTTTAAAATTCTAAGTGCCTGAGACCACTGGTATTCCACTAAACCCCTGGTGTTCCTCAAATAAGTCGCCAGGATGTTGGTACTTACCTATGATGTTGATGTAGTGTTTTATTACCCAGGCATACCTTGAAAGATTTGT